GGCTCCCAGTGTGTGCTCTGCGCTCCCGCTGCAGAGGGAGATGCTGGCGGAATGAGCAAATATAACCCCCGCTAGTCCAACATTAGAGCAAACAAAGGAAGGTGGCATGTCGGCGGGCTGCTCAACAACAATAGCTAATGGTGATTAACTAGACGGTGTCTGCCGATTGCCGCCGTGACCCGGTGGGGAGCCACCACGCGGGCTTCCGGAAAACGCCCGCTTAGGAGGACGTGCGGCCACGTCTGACCCGGAGTCTGAAAAGATGATTCATCTGACGCCGAGCTGCACGGGGGCTCCGATGAGACGAGCAGTCGGATCAGGCCCCACCGCGGCCTTGGGGGGCGCCCGTCTGGGCACACAGCCCGGGGAGCGATCAGGCACTCGGCTGCTGGGGGGAGCCCTTCTCTGTCTCCCAGGATTAGTGGCTACTTTTTGGACAGATGTCCTCAGAGGTTGTTGGGAGGAAAACACCAAAGCGGGTCCGGTTCCTCCATCCACGGCTCGTCTTTGCACCCACTCTGCCAGGAAGCTGGGAGGTAGAGGGGACAAGCCCAGGGGTGGCCCAGGGCTGGGGCCTCCTCCTCTCTGTGGATGGAGGATGGAGGCCTGGGCCACCTACTACCTCCGGACCCAGCATCAGGCAGGAAACCTGCCAAGTCCTAGGGGCCACCTACCACCCACCCCACAGGCCACACAGCTGTTCTTTGGGTACCAGTGGGAGAGAGGGAGAGAGGCAGGATGGGCCCAGAGTCCCCAGGACGGCACCAGCCAGTCAGAGAAGGCCCTGCAAGTGACTCGTTTGTGCACTGAGCAGGGATGGGCAGCCAGCGTGTCTAAGGAGCCCCTCCTTTGCAGGGGGCCTGCCTACAAAAAGCCATCAAAGGCAGGAGACAAGGTCTGCCCCTACCTAGCAGAGGGGCTGATCAAAGGCCGGAACAAAGCAGCCTCCATGAGGCCACAGCTTTCAGCCGGCCTGGCCTCCACACAGGGCTGCTGGGAGCACCTTGCCAGGCCTCCTGCCTGCCTGCCTCCCCAGGCTGTGGCCTCCCGGCCCCTCCCCCCCTGCCCTCCCTCTACTACCGGAGCCCTCCCCTCCCTCCAGCAGGGCCGCCTGTGCGCAGGCCAGGCCAGCAGCGCCGTTGTAATAACTCATGCAAATGCGAGGGCTTGGGAGACAAAGAGAGGTCAGGCCCGCGGCTCGGGGATTCCTGTCGACAAACAATATTAGATGTAAAACGTGTACCTTTGACAAAAGTATTAATAGAGCGCTTTTGATTGTTTTTCCCTGATGAAAAGTGAAAAGTAGTAATTGTGGAGTGACAGAGGAAAATGAAGTTTTGAACCAAAAGGCAAAGTTCGCGGATGGAAAAGCCCAACCCAATTAGCCCTCCCGAGGAATGGAAATGCCAGGCACTTGCTCCTCCAGCCCCTCAACAGCCTTTTGATTGACTCTGCTCAGACCCGGACAGCGGAGCAGATGAATCGGCGCGCCGCGTGCGCACGAGGCTTAATCATTTGTAATAGTCGTATTTGCCCTGACACATAATTTGCTATTTTTTTTTTTCTGGCTCCCTCGTATTCTGCGGCTTGGCCTTTGCTTTATAAAACATTTAATAGTTTGCTTTAAACACATCAGCATGCTGATCTATGATCGCCCTTCGCCCGGCGCCCGGAGGCATGGCCCGCCTCCCCTCCTGCTGCGCCTGGGAGACTCGAGGTGGGCGAGGGCCGGGGTGGCCGGCCGGGCGCTAAGGTCTGCCTTCTCTGTCTTGTGTGAGCAGCCACTCCGTGCATCAAGGCAATCAGTCCCAGTGAAGGCTGGACCACGGGCGGCGCCACCGTGATCATCATCGGGGACAACTTCTTTGACGGCCTACAGGTGGTGTTCGGGACGATGCTGGTGTGGAGCGAGGTAAGCCTGCGCCGCGGGCACTCAGCGGGAGCTTTTCCACGGGGGGGGCGTGACGGCACAGATACGAGGCGCCCTGTGGCAAATCCCCCTTTCACTGACGCTCCCCGGTGGGTGGGTGCAGAACGCCCCCGCTCAGCCCTGGGGTGCCAGCCCTGTCGTAGGAGGTCCCCCTACACTGGAACAATCAGTGCCTGCATCGCCAGGAGCAGGTTTCAGGGGACATATGGTGGCAATTTTCATGTGAATGATGCCCTGTGGCCTTTCCTGCCAACGAAAACCCGGGACCGTTTGCAGATCTTTTCCTTAAAGAGCTAGAGGCCCCGCCTCCCCGGTGACAGCTAGGCGGGGGCGCTCCCAGACGATGGTCCAATTTTGCTCATTTTGGTAATTACGTCTAACCGGCGAGTGTCCCCTCTCACGAGCAGCGCCCTGAAAGCCTGCTCACCGTGTGGTTTTTGTAGCTGATAACGCCCCACGCCATCCGCGTCCAGACCCCGCCGCGGCACATTCCTGGCGTCGTCGAGGTCACCCTGTCCTACAAGTCCAAGCAGTTCTGTAAAGGCGCTCCAGGGCGGTTTGTCTACACCGGTGAGTTCCCCTTCTCGGCGTTCGTGGCAAAGCGGTAGACGCCCCTTAGGTCGGCACAGGCGGGCGCTGCACGCAGAAGCTGGGGGAGGCCCCTGGGCCAGGGGCAGGGTTTTGTCAGCAGCCGTGTCTGTCCCCGTCCGAGCTGGAGAGACGCCATGGACAGATGCGGCCCCCGCTGGGCATGTGACCTTGGGCCCCTCCCTTGTGGCCCTCGGCCTTCTCACCTTGAAAGCCAGGCTGGGCAGGGAGCGGGGCGGTTGTCGGTAACAGGTCACCCCAGCTCTCATCCTGTGGCTGCCCAAGTAATGTCACCGTTGCTCATTTGCACAAGCTGAGACTCAGAAGTTCAGTCATGTGCCCAAGGCCACACACCCTGTAAATGAGGGGCCTCCCACGCACGCCAGGTCTCTGCTCCAGGCCTGGTCACACACATGCCTTACGTACGCTGCTTCTGCGAGGGTTTTAGAGAAACTGCTACCATCAGAAGGGTTGCCTCTGCAGTGACTGTGGGTTATCAGAAAGTTGCTTAGTTGACGAGATTCCTTCAAGCTTGCTGTGGAGAGAAGCCATAAGTAAGTGTAAGCCATGTTAGGACTCCTTTTCTGTCCTAGCCAAGTGCAAACACTGTCATCTTTGAGAAGTCTATTTATTTAACAATGGGCAGTACCTGCTGAAACCCGGGAGGGTGACATGGACAAGGACTCGTCCCTGAAGAGTTGTGGCCGTGACGTGTACGAGGGCGGCGGGAGACCATAGCAGGAGCCTGGGCTCAGGGCTCCCACAAGCTGTCACCAGCGGCAGGACGCCATGGCAGGTCTGGCCTCCTAGCCAGATGGAAGGCTGTCCTCTGTCCAGCAGGCAGGTGACGTGGGCTCGAGGTCCCTCCCACTTTGGAGTGTGAAGAGAGGGGGGGTTCCTCACGCACCCCGATTTTAGGAAGGACTGAGTGTGTGTGACATGCAGAGTGTAAATGCTTTCAGCGCCCACTTTCCAGGAGACCAGGGTCACCCCGGGCCAGCCTGGGCTGCCAGCGACACCTGGGGTCCTTGACGGGAGAGGGTGCCTTCTCTTTGAGCCCCTCAGCCCCTCCATGTGGTCAGGGTGTGTGTGGGGGTACCTGCCCCACACCAGGGGTCGCTTCCTCCCAGGGGACTAGCACGGCCCCCACCCCCAACCCCTTGTGAGTTCAGAGCTGCCCAAAACCCAGGACAAGTGCATTGGCCACAAGCTGTGGGTAGTGTGCCGGCCCCTCCTGGTCGGGGTGCTCCTGGCTCTTGGAAAGGCCCAGGGCTGGAGGGGCAGCCTGTGCAGCTTGTGGGGCACCTGGTGTATGAAAACGTACAGTCACGCAGAGGGCTGTACCCTTGGCACTTGGAGAACACATGCCCGCACTTCAGCAGGAGACTGGGCTGTGGGCGCGGGTCCCAGGGTGGGGAGGGGGGCGTCAGGAGGCCTCCCTGGGCGGTGCCTCTCTCAGCACCTCTGCTCGGCCAGTGTCCTGTGCGCTGCAGCCGTGTCCTGTGGGCTGCAGCCGTGTCCTGTGCGCCGCAGCCGTGTCCTGTGGGCTGCAGCCGTGTCCTGTGCGCTGCAGCCGTGTCCTGTGGGCTGCAGCCGTGTCCTGTGGGCTGCAGCCGTGTCCTGTGGGCTGCAGCCGTGTCCTGTGCGCTGCAGCCGTGTCCTGTGCGCTGCAGCCGTGTCCTGTGGGCTGCAGCCGTGTCCTGTGCGCTGCAGCCGCGCCCGCCCCCACGCTCCGCGTGCCTCTCCCTGACTGCTGGCCGGAGGGCCGCGCGTCTCTGGGTTTCTGGCCGTGAACTTCAGGCTGCGGAGGCAGCGGGGCCCGCTTTGCTCTGCTTGGTGTTGACTGGGGACCTGGCGCCATGCTCCGACCCAAGTGCCACTTCTGCTCGGCCCCACCCGCGGGTTTGTGAGGGTCAGGGGGCACTTAGGGGCGTGTCCGACCCACGGTGGAGTGGTACCCGGCGCCCGGTGCCTCCTGTGGACAGTTTGCGAGGTACTACTTCTGTCGGGGTCCGAGTCCCTCAAAGGGAAGGGGCGTTTATTGTCCACTCAGGAGCCATGTCACATGTCTGCCACGTGACACATGCTCCTCGGTGGCCGTGGGGCGCCAAAGGGAGCGTGGATGTGTGTGGCAGGACCGACCTGCTCTGCACAGACATGGGTGGCGAGACCACTTGTTCCATTGGACTGTTGGGCCCTCGGGGTTCAGTCCGCCCTGCCCCCGCCCCATGGGCCTCAGTGGGTCCTTGCATCGACCAGACCTTGGCATTCAGATTTCTGCACGTGTGGGCTTTTCAGAGGGAGACGGGCTGGCTGTGAGCAATGGCTACTCTTTTCTGAGCACTCTGGTCCCAGCGGGGAGAGCAGGGCCCTGGGCTGAGCATCATAAACAAAGGTGCCTTTGGAAAATGCGCTGGGAGGAGCCGCCTGTCACTGGCCAGTGGGTGTCGCGTGGCGAGGGCCTGCTCCAGGCCAGTGTGAGGGGTGTGGCTATCCTAGCAGCTCTCTCTGTCACCCTCTTTATTTAAAAAAATGTTTTTATTGATTTTTTACAGAGAGAGGAAGGGAGAGGGATAGAGAGATAGAAACATTGATGAGAGAGAAACATCATCAATTGGCTGCCTCCTGTACACCCCCCACAGGGGATGGAGCCCGCAACCCGGCATGTGGCTCGATCAGAACCGAACCAGCGGCCTCTTGGTTCCTGGGTCGATGCTCAACCACTGAGCTACACCGGCCGGACTTGGCCACCCTCTGTGCCAAGGACTCCTTCCTTGGCCAGCCACCTCCTCGGGGAGTTCTGGGGTGTTCTATGCCGCCCTCCTCCGCCCCCTCCCACTGCCCCATGGGAAGGAGTTTAACCCTGAGTCAGGTCCATCAGCCACCCAGTGGCCCGTCTTCCACTCCCCAGTGGACATGGTGTCCACTCCAGACGGACTGGGCTTGTTGGGCCCGACGTGCAGGGGCCCGGCTGCCCAAGGCTTCGGGATTTTCTCCACCGAGAGTTCTCCCACGGATGGGCCTTCAATGGAGCCATTCAGCGAGCGGGCCTTTGCTAGCAGAAGGCTAATTTACGGCCTCCCCCACCCCAATCATTAACGGGAATATGCATTTCAAACGCCGTGTAAGGGATATGGGCCTACACGCCCAGGGAGCGGAGGTGAGCTGGGGTCATAGCCTGTCTGACCTGGAAGCTGCTGTCTGACTTGCTTGCCCTGAAATTGATGGGGACAAAGAATAATCGCTGGGAACTGTGCCCCTGAAAGCCGAGCCCGCCTTCTGCACCGGGCTCAGGGCAGCCCCTGCAGGGAGGGCACCGTCCCCTGGGCATCTGGCTCCCATCAGCGCCCCCGCCCAGAGGCTGCTGGGACACCCTTGCGGTGAGCCTTCCTGCCAGCAGCCGCCTCGGATCAGGAACCTGAGCCCAGGAGGAGCCCCCCCCCCCCCCCCCCCTCATAGGGGCGAAGGCCTAAGTGATCTGTTTATGGGGATCTGAGAAACACCAGGTTCCTCAGGCCCAGGTCCGTCAGCCCCGAGTGGGCGTGGCGCTCCCCGCGGGCCCCGCCCAGGGAAGGGGAGGCGGCCAGGCCCATCCACAGGCCCCTTCGCCGGCTGCCTACACTACAGACACAGTTACCTGGGGAAGCGGTGGCCGTTCGGTTGATTAGCCGGTGAATTAAAAGAACGAGTCACAAGTGACATGTCCGGCTCCTCCCTCCCAGGCCCACGCATTCCCAGCGAGCCTCACCCCTGTTGGGAGGTCAGAAATGAGAGAGCGGGAGCCATTTCCAAGCGGCTAGCACTTAGGCGCAGAATTAACAATCACTCTGTATGTAATTGCCAGTTAATAGTAAATTGCCTTCTAGACTGTAAAATGCAGTATAAACGCCGGGCACCTAAAATTAAATTAATGAGATATTCGCTGCATTTAAAAGTGAAGGTGCAAATTGATACCCGAGTGCCACGCTTGTTTTAATATTTGTCTAATCGCGTCTCGTCTGCTTGTTTAATAATAATCACCGAGGTCCCGGAACAGCCTACCTGAGATGCTCACGCCCGCTAACCGGGCAGACTGACCCGTCTCCCGCCCCTCGCTTCCCCAGGAGAAACCCATCCGATGGGCAGGGCCCACAGAATGCTTCTTTAAGTAGAAGAGGAGCTTTGCGGTGTTATTTGATAAAGACAGATTGGAATTTGTCTGCTTCGAACTGAAGCTATGTGAGGGTGGACGCTACCTTTGCAGACACGTGTCCAGGTGTGGGTGTCCGTGCACGAGTGTGCGTGTGACTTGGGGCGTCCGTTTGGCGGGACGGGTTCCCGTCACACAGAAGCAGTGACGCTCATGGGTGGTGGCGTCCCTTCCAGGGGGTTCCCCAGGACGCCAGGGCCACTCATGGGGGCTCCTGCTCTTGAACTCTTGGACCCAGTGTTTGGCGGACCCACTCTCATTTTAGCGATTTCTTTTGCTCAATTAGAGAAATTATCACAAATTACCGGGAGTCAACACGTCGTCTGCCGCGGGCCAAGCCCAGTCGCGAAGGGAGATGTTGGCGGCCGCTGGTAAACGCGTCCAGGGCGGGCACAGACGGAGCTTGTCTGCAATTTATTTCCTGGACGGGGACATACACATGATTATTTCCCGCACCAAGACGTGCATTCGATTGCAAGCGTATGAAATCGTTCCTCAGCCAGTCATTGCTAACAGTTTGTGTGCTTTCTGATACACTATTTACGTTTCCTGCTTTTTTGATTTAGAAGAGTCAGATTGTGCCTTAAACGGGCGACATGTCAGGTCCCCGGGTGCTGTCCCGGCAGCGCGGGTGGCAGTTCCTTCCCGTGCCCGCGCCGCGGCCTCCGGCGGACTCCACCGTTTAACCCCCACTCCACTTGCCCCTTGAAGGGTGCTCGTAGTCTGAAGTGTCTTGAAGATCTTTGTGCGCATTGAGATGCGATTCTGTCAACAGCGGGGACGCACTGCAGTC